AGCGAGTAGCGTCTACGTATACATACAAATACATAAACTATACGTATATGTATGTTGCGCGAGAACACGTATACTATACTCTGCGTGAGAACACTTGTATACACTAGCGTGATAACATTTTTAGAGTGAGGACACTTTTCATGCGACTCATATATTCACTTTCGTTTCTGTAGGAAATAGTGGACTGTTGGAAAATCTAAATAGCTCATATTGATAGGATTTTTTCCAAGGAATCTGATGGGCTTATCAGATTTTCGATAACTCTTATCAAATTCAAATGAGAGCGAAAAGAAAGTCTGCGGGAAGGTATGGGCTGTATATGAGTAGCGGCGTGTCGTCACTTAGTTCCTGTCATACTTGCCAGGTGGAGCGCGACACGCGCTCCTCGATAATATATGCTGTTGAATTAATTAGAAAAAAATCCTACATTTTGACAGTGTCAACATTTTTTTTTAGATTTTTTCTGTTCATTTGCCGAGCGCTCGAAAGTGAACTTTTCGAAATTTACGCAAAAAAAATATTAAAAAAGTGCATTTTTTGATGAAATCGTCTTCTTAGGTCAAAATGGACAACGGGATTCGATTCTACGTACAAAAATACGTAAGAAAACGTATTGTTAATATTGATTTTACCCTCAGAACACAGTTGGCAATGTATGATCTTATTTAGCGATGCTGTCCAATTTTCGCACCACGTTTTTTAATTTTTAAATTCTGTCGACAGCTCTACAGGGGACCTAGCGACATGAGATTGAATACCAAGAGGCCCAAATTTGACGCTTTTTTTAATAGATTTTAGGAATTCTTAAAGAGAGTGATAGATGGCCCCGAAAATTCTGAAAAAATTCAAGCAGATTCTTTGAAAAATTTTAAAACTTCTTATCGTCACATTTTTTCATTTAAGTACTTCTATATCGATATAGAAAATAACAAAGATTTTTTCATAATGTGGAAAATCCTCTTAAAAATGGGCCCTAAGGCCCATGAGATCAAACTAAGCACAGGAAGCTTCAGTATTGGGTACCAGGAGACCCCAAAAAAATTTTGGAGCAAATCCATGACCCGGAACTGGGGTGGTCTCCTTGTAAGCACAGAGAGCTAAAGTATAGGGTACCAGGAGACCCCAAAAAAATTTTGGAGCAAATCCATGACCCGAAGGTGAGAAGGTCTCCTTGTTAATCTATATATTCTTAACAATGAGGGCGCACTTGTATAGCGTTACTTAAAATTGTACCGACACGTGGCGCTTTGAGGTCAATGAGTCGACTATTCGAACTATAAGAAACATATTTATATAAAATAAAAAGTCTCTATTAAAGATTAGCTTTTTCCCTCATTATATACGCGGATTTCGCTTTACGCGGAACTTTTCCGGAACGTATCCCCCGCGTATAATGAGGTATGCCTGTTAATTCGAAAATTCCATACAAATTCCCTGCAATACTTTGATAATCGTGGTCACCTCTCATCATGTTTATATCGTGATTCCTTGACAGTAACATGTCTAGAAAAAATCGAGAAATTGATTTTTGGCAAAAATTTTTACGTTTTTTTTTTGTTTAAATAGCTATAACTTTTTTACTATCCAAACAATAAAAATTTAAGGGCATTAAATTTTGCATCGAAATAGGTCCGTGTTTTTAAAAAACTAACTACAAAAAGATCACTGCGAAAACCAATGAAAAACCCAAGCATTTTGGTCGTTAATGGTTTGATACAATATTTTATTGAAGCATGCTAAGCTTTGCTCGCTTGCAGTAGCTAGATGTTGATTTTGGAATCATAATTTTTAAATCATAATGAATTCATTTATTAATAAGAATTTTTATATTCCAGTTAGTTATTGGAGGAGCTACACTTGATAGTGTTTTGCAAATAAATCATGAATCATTATTTGTATGTATTATTTTTTATTACCATTTTAAATAAGTATTTCATACCCGGGTAAAATAGTACATCAGATCTTTTTTTTCCATATTTTTTATTTGATATCTGTAAAAACATTAAATAGGCAAAAAGAAAATATTGGTGATATAAACGGCAAGAGATTTTTTGGTAGCTTTCCAAAGCTAGTCTGGCCTAGGTTAAGTCAAGTTTTTGCAAGTAATTTGTCTCTTTTTTTCTTCGTGAAGCAAGACTTTAAGTTAATTTATTACTTTTTTGAGATACCTTTTATTTTCGGCATTTCTAGTGGAATGACAGACTTCCTTATTTTTTTTCTTTGATTTAGCTTCAATTAAATTGGATATGATACTTTGTTTATGGCTTAGTGTTGGAATTGGTTGATTAGTGACAAGGATAAAGGGATGAAATTATGACACAATTCATGTTCTCTTGAACAATGAAAAACTTTATTTATCACCAACTGCACTTCACTGTGCACTCTGCACTTCAACACAAAAGACAAAAAAAATGTCAAACTCTTAGTATGTAAGTAGTAAAAGGAACAAAAGGAAACAAGGTAATTATTTTTCGCAAAGATGCGCTCTGCTCTGTGGGTCGCAGAATAGTGGGACACGGCAGAGACACGCATGTGCTCGCGCGGAAGGGGGGGAGAGAGACTCGTGCGAAATCGCGTCGCGCTGTCACCTCGTCCACTGCTGCCCTCTCACACACTCGTACATACGGCTCGCACAGATACGGCTATCTATGCATCGCCGACACTTAGCACTATTGTAGTGGATACCACGGATACTGAAGATTGAAGAGTCTCGTTGAAGAATTCAATACTGCTCTCGAGATTTTGAACTGTCCGAAAGAAAATGCCACAATGTACTCTCCTAGAAGGAGAGTTACTCTCTCTACTATTTTTTTTAAATTTTTTCCAACTGGCTTTGTTTGAAAAGTGGTTTTTAGAGACACATAGTAGTGATGATGACCGGTGAATGATGGAAGCTAAAGCGTACATTAAACTTTTTATCAATACCTTTAGCAATCGCCAAATCGATCATATCCGGTCTTTTGTTTGGATCTGATGGCCACGATTTAGGCGTGAGATATTAAGCTACAAAAATGCAACCCTCAAAAACAGTGGCTTCTGTCTCGGGTTTGCCGGTAACAAGTCTTATACGTCTAATACATGCATATTGTTATGTGAGCTAATATATTGTGACTTCTACGTCACTACATGTATGTATATTGCAACATTATTGGCTCTTAAAGCACATGCAAGTGAGTATAGAATATGTAGTAGCGAGTGCTTCTGCAAAGCGGACTCGCTAAATATTCGTGTAGCTTGCTGCGCGAGTATAAAAGGGGGGCCGTAGTCAACTTACCACAGCGAAGGAAAGACTGCAGCTCACTTACAAATTATTCAATGCTTTTACATACCAGCAGCCCGAAAGTAGCATTTCCCTGCCACCGCGCTAAACTGGATATTGCTATTTTCGGGCCCGGGGTATGTAAAATCTTCTAATAGCCTCTACCGGGAGAAAAGAAAGCCTCAGTGCACTTGCTAATCGACCTCGGCTTCGCTTCGGTCGCTTATTTCAGGTGCCCTGGGACTTTTCTATTTTTCTCGGCCTTGGTCAGTAATATACTATTACTATTAATATTGAAACCCGGTCAAGCGTTGCGTCTCGAACCTCGACAGGTCTCTGGTAGTATTTCTTACGCGCCTAAAAAGTGAGAACTTGGAAGAAAACGTAAAAATACAAATTCGGTTTTGGACTTGTAATGTTCAATTGTATGATTCTTTTTTTTTATTTATTCATGACGAGAAATCTTTTTATTATTGAAAGTACGGAAAATATTATTAATTATCAAAATAACTTGTACGAATTTATCGTGAGTACACACAGAGTTCGGTGATAGCTTTACAATTATCGTCTAATTTCAACCAAGGAAAACGAGATCTTCAACACCGAAATACAGATTTGAATTACCGGAGAAACACGCAGTATTGCGACGTTTGGATCACCCTGGAGATGACGAGGAAAACTTGGCTGCTCTGCACTGCTTGGCTGGGAAAGACACGAACTGCTGCTAGTTGGCCGCTGGGCTCTTCCTTCACCCTGGATCCGAGATGCTAAAGAAGAAATCGCGACTAGGAAGTGACGAAGGAGAGATTCGACTTGTATTACTACAAGGAGAATCAGCGTCAATCTCTTGCTCAATAACTTCACAGGCGAGAATTCAGGTACAATCATAAGTTCTCGTAGAGTTATTTGTAGTGAGAGAAAACTTTATGCAAAAAGCTTACGCACTCGTACGCCCATTGGCGTGGCAGCGGTAGGTTGTTTTCGGAAAAGTCCACTAACTATAGGACAGTGGCAAAGAAGGATAGTTGAGAACACTAAATACTTTGGTGTGTTTCATTGTTATATTTCAATTATCAATGCCGTTTTATCCTCGGCTTGCTCCTTAAATAGGTCAATTGTAAGTGCTCTCGATGCACTCTCTCTTTGAGTCGAGTCGCCAAAATTTCCCACTAGTTCATGGTCATTTCGTACACATGCTGATTTCGCAATTAGTGCGACAAAGAGAGAATTTTCGCAGAACGATTGATTGATTGATTGTCGTCACGTGGATGACGTCATGCGGTCACGGATGCTGCGTTGGGGTCCAATGCTGCTCTCTCTCTACTTGGCTGTGGCTGGGACTCTGGCGTGCTAGAGGTGGGGGAGTCGCAAGATCGCTCTCGCGTATGCAAATGAGCTCGGTAGTGGGTAAATGTGAACGTAGCGAGTCTTTCCTCTCTTGGTGTACTCATGTCGCCTGCATGCACAACGGGAGACGTTGCACGTTTTGCTTCACTCACGTGAGCGAGCCGTAAAATACGTTGCAATATATCAAAAGTAGTATGCAATTATATTTTATTTTATGAGTGATTTTGTAACTAACTTGTCAGTAAAAATTAAGGAAAATTTGTGTATTAATTTTTAATTTACATATATTTTTGTTCGACATATACAAGAGAAAAGTATTTTAACTATTTCCATATCAGACTAGTTTTAAAATAACAAATAATTGTCAAAATATTCAATTCTTTTTTGTTGGTGGAAATGTTCTTTATTTGTACAGTAAATTTTTTCAAATTGAGGATGAATTGATTTTAAGATTCATTCACCTATTAACAACTATTTGTTGCGAAACTCTCAAATTAAAACATTGCACACAATTTTTTATATAAAAATGTCATTATCGAATAATACTCATTTACTACTAGTCACAACTACACTTGTTTTTAAGTTCGATTGATTTTCATCAAAATCTGAAGAATGTAAAGATAGATGTTTAGATGGATTCCGTTTTTCAATTTCACTCATTTCAAAGTCATTTTTTAAGAACAATTGTTCACTATGGAAAAGTGCTCCTCGATGATAAACAGGTGGAGTTGGTTCTTCTAGAATCAAGGCGCAATGACTATTTGTATCACTTTCTGTACTCATTTCTTGAATGTTATTTCCATTTGATATCTGTTTATGGATTGTTAAACCTGACGAATGATGGCAAAATGATTTTTGACCTGACAGAAAAAATTAAATGTTTTTAAATTCATTGCAATAATAACAGTGATATCAAAAACATTTTCTTCAAATGTAAAGTAAATTAATAAATACTCAAATTTAATATTAATTTCTTCAACTGATAATTAGTGGCTGACTGGCATGAAGGATTTTAAGAATTTTTTTTCAATATTTTTGGGTTATCAACAGAGGCCTCATGGTTTGGGCTTTGAAAATATGTTTTTGTTCTTAATTAAGCGGAAAATTAAAAACTTTTTTGATTCGAATTTGGCCATTACTCAAACATTTGAAAAGTTTATCAAAAAATTCAATGGTAATCTTGTTGATTATTTTTTTCTAAAGTTGATTATTTACGAGTAAAATATACTTAATAATTTTAGTACATTTTTTTTAAAAAATGTATTTTTTGATGTCCACCATTTCAAATCTTGAAATTTTACGAACGATACTTTAAATATTAGGTTGTTTTTCATTATTTTGGGTATTGCAGGCCATAGTTTAAGTCTCCTTTATAAATACTCGAGCCGAAATACCTTTATAAATAATTCGAGCCAAAGTTTTTTTTGAGGATTCAAAATTGTGTTTTTCCTCAATAAATCTTTTATAACTTTTCTAATATGTGTCAGAGTTTAATTATCAACTCATTCAAAAAGTAAATTAAATCTCCTCTTTTAGAAAAAGCATAGCTAAAAGTATTAACAATTTATAAGCGTTCTGGTTGGTCGAGAGAGTGGCGCTGCAGAATGTATCAGTTTGTTGTTTATTGAGTATTGACCAGCGTTGTGAAAAGTCAAATTACATATGGCTGCCACGGCTTCGAGTGGGGATCGTTCTACGTTATCAAAGTGCACGCACCACGTCAATTTTATTAGTACGAATTAATTTATTTATTTGCCACGATTTGGGTGCGTAAAAAATGTCGTATTGTGTGCTAATACGAATGATTACGTACAGAGTATTTTATTTTACAATCGTATTATGCATTATTTTTACACACAAAAAAATATACAATAAAAGATTTCTTGTACGTATTACATGAATGTTAGAATATACATTTTATTTTTAGAATAATAATATTTTCTTTCCATTTATCATTATTCATAATTGTCGACATTGTTAAGGAAGAGTAGCACGTTTCTATACATTTTCAAATGTAAACGTGTTAGTTTTATTTAACAGCATCGTTATATTCATGACCCCTTTTGCTTCGGTTAGCCGCTGCGTGCGCGTCGATAACGCAGAACGATCCACGCACGAAGCCATGGCAGCCATATGTAATTTAGCATTTCACAACGCTGGTATTGACTGTAAGTTGAACGTTTTGATTAATTTCCCATAGGAGGCGTGAGCAAGTTGTAAAACAAAGATGAGTTCAGAGCGCGCGGAACGCGCTGTTTCAGTGGTTAGTTTTACATAAAAAATGGGTTCTCAAGTATTTTTTCGCTGCGTTGAGATGATTTAATTGCAGACTACAAAAAAGAATACAATTGGTTCGTTTGCGAGTTATTGGGTTAAGATAAATGATAAATCAACTAAGCGTCTGCACAACGTGGATACTATCCACTGGATAGTGTTTAATTTCATACGACGAATAAATTATCCTTATTAAAACGGTTCAAGAAGATCTTCTTTGGTGTAAACTGAGTTCTTTAAACTTTTGCTGTTGCAATGGTTTTCAGAAAAGTTTAATCTGTGCTTATTACCCTTTTTCTGCTGTGACGATTATTCAAAAAGTGTGATCTTCTCTTCATACTCGCGGTTCCCATGTTTGCGGATTTCGCTTTTTCGCGGTTTTGTGAATATGGTTAATAACCATTGGTTATCCCTCTGTATTCACGTATACAGTTCATCCGTTCACGGTTTTCTAATCACGGTTTCGATTTTTGAGCCGGATATGCAAGCAAAAATTTTGAAAAATTTCGGAAAATTTTCGTAAAATCAAAGTGTACAACGAGAAACTGCGTGTTTACGCCGGTAGTAGAATACTCGTACAGTAACTCAATAGCAGAAATATGTGTATAAAGCTTATTTTAAGCAAGTTTGATGATTTGATGATCAGTCTGACGGTTGCTTTCGTAAGGAAAACGTGTATTTGTTTTCTAAAGAAATTTCACTATTAATTTTGAAAAGATGGTTTCCTTAAATCGTAAAAATATAAAGAAAAGATGAAAAAGTTGGGTCGATCGCTGATAAAATACAATACAAACCACGAGTACCCGAAGAAAGGCATCGCAAAGTTCAGTTCTGACCAGGAGCCAAAAGTAGGCTACCTGGGGTGATATTCCGGATACTAACCTAGTGCCCATCAAGAGTGAGAGCAAAAGCAAGATTTTCAACTAGTAATTATATTGTTTAACTAGTTTTCACATTATGTAAGTATAAATATAGTTACATAAAAGCACTTAAAAAAATGCATACACACATTTCATTAATATAACTTTTCGTTTGACAATGTAATAGTTTTGCTTTCTACATAATTTATGTAAGATCCATCTTCTCCTTTCTTGTTCCCTTGTTGTTTTTTACCCGCGGGACCGCCGTTCGGCATCACTTCGCTCTATACCTAATGAATGGCTCAAGTGGTAGGGCTCTGGACTTGTAACCGACTGATCACCGGTTCCATTCCAGGTCTCTAAGAAACTTTTTCACTTTTTCAAAGTTTAGAATTTAATATACTCTAAATTATTACGTAAATAATTTCATTGTTTTATCTTCTACTTATAAAAAAAAGAACCGCTCAAAAGTGAGGCCGCTTAAGGGGGGAAAGGCACCTAAAATCTAAAAAAAAAAATTTTTTTTCATTGACTTTTTTGATAGGATTTTTCCTCGGCTTTCAAGTGCCGTGATCGGAATTTTAAAATTTTAACTGTACCGTGATGTACAGCTTATTTAGTACCGATACTTTTACGATTATTTAGAAAAAATGAATGAATCGACTCAAAGATATATCGTTGCCATTCTCTCATGAATCTCGAGACTTTAGTAAGTCGGTAGCACCATCTATTGATACTCGTTTTATTCTTTGGTTAGAGTACATCTAGCAGGAATTTGTTTGTTTACATAGCTATAGGTGTACAGTAACGCCACCACTCGCAGCACGTGGGTTTCGGCATATCTTCTATCTCTCTCTGTTTCGTGCACGAGCCCTGATCAAATGTCAACAACAGTCTGCTGACTGCTTCTTGATTTTCCAATGGCTAAAAATTACATTTTTTTTAAAGTGAAAAAAGTATATGTAGAGTGCAATTATATCTTTGCAACTCAACATAGTGTTTCATAATAAAGCTATGAAGAAGTTTCAATAGCTTGTTATAAAAATGTTACATTTATAGCAGTTCTAATTCAAGAAATACAGAAGTACATATGTAAATTGACATGTATACATCAGTGTATATGTATGTCACTGTACTTTATGTATGTGTATATGACTGTATCATATATATTATTGTATGTTGCATGTGATGAACAAGATTTGTGATAATTGATCAACTTGTAGTGATTTATTTCCAAGTATCTATAGTGATAAATGTTTTATGAATGTTTGTAAATAAGTAGAAGACTGGATTCAAATTCTAATGTGAGATTGTGTATATTTGTGTGAAAAGTTGATTTGGACATAATCAACTTAGTTACCAGTTTCCACATAAAACCCATATTAGCGTATACTAACATTTTAGTACAACTTATAAAATGTAGTGATGAAATTGGCGCATTTGGCTTTGTGTGGCTGTATGGGATAATTGAACATTTTCCTTGTGGGTGGCAATATGTTGAAAATTCAAATTGAATTACTGTTCTTTATTGTCCAAAAAGTTTTAAGCAGCCTCAGTGACATGAGAGTATCATTATGACATATATTGATGTATTTTGGTTTTTTTCAACTCTTGGGCAGTTACGTTTTATCTCAAAATTGCTTTGTTGCCGTAACTTTCCATGTAAACCGTTTGAGCAAATGAGCTGAAATTTTCAGGGATTGTTCTACATGAGAATGGCTACAAACGCAAGCACTTTCAAAGGTGTTGAGACAAATCAGCACTTTTTTCAGGCTATGATGTAGCATAATCTGTCATTTTATCATATACATATCTGTCATTTTATCATGTATATCAATGAATTAATATGTATATGTGGCTGGCAAATTGTGTAAAACTAATTAAAAAATCTGAAAGTGCTTGCGTTTGTAACCACACATCTAATGATAAAAATGAGACCCCAAGGACCATGATTGAACCATCGGTTCTAGTTGGATCCTACGGCACAGGGGTACCTGTCAGGACCGTGGGCTTGCTTCATCGAGGAGGGTTCTATGGTGACTGGGACCTCAATTTTCATATTCCAGAGTGAAAAACTTTGAAAAAAGAGTGAAGAAAACAGAGTTTTCTCTGTATATTCCAAAAAAAATTTTTTTCTTCATAATTAATAAATTTTTCATAAATGTAGGTTTAAGGTACCCTTCCCCCCTTAAAACGCCCTCTGATGGGCTCACACTAACGACGACGCCCGACGCGAGCCGACTTGATACGAGCGCCTGCGCTGCTAACTGTCTGTTGTCAGTTAGTACTTAAGTATTTTCAATTTTGAAACTTACTATTTCTAAGCTATTTCTGAATCTTAAACTAACCTCAAAACACGAATATAAAAATTGACATGCAAGGGGCGGGTTTTAATCATCTAGTAAAAATTAAAAAAATCACCTGACGATTTTGCATGATTTTTCCCCTGAATTTTTCCAGCAGAGATAAGATATAAGATCTTACGTGAGAATCTTTTCACTGGGGAAGCAGAGCCTTTCATCTCTGGGTAACCAAATTTTCTGAAAATTTTTTTGTGGTCTCCTGGTAACTGATCATGAAGCTCAGTATGCTTAGTTAAATCTCATGAGTCTTAGAGCCCATTTTTAGAAGGATTTTCTACATTGCCGAACATTTTTGGGATTTTTAATATCGATATAGAAGCATTTAAATGAAAAAAATGTTAAACAAAAGTCTTAAAATATTTCAAAGAATCGAATTTTTTCAGAATTTCGCGGACCATCTACCACCCTTTTTAAGAAGTTCTAAAATCTATAAAAAATCTTTAGATTTTGGCCTCTCAAAATAAGTGATAGATTGTCCAAAAAATTGTGAAAAAATTCAAGCAGATTCTTTGAAATATCTTAAAACTTATGTTTTTTGCATTTTTTTTCGTTTAAGTGCTTCTAAATCGATACAGAAAATTACAAAGATTTTTTAAGAATATAGTAAATTCTCTTTAAAATGGGCCCGAAGGCCTAAGAGAATAAACTAAGCATACTGAGCTTCATGTTTAGGTACCAGGACACTAAAAAAAAAAAAAAAATTTCAGAAAATTTGATGACTCGGAGATAAAAAGCTCTGCTTGTAAGTCGCATAATATGAAAATCAATACACACAAATTGACAGCATTTAAAGTATCAAAAATTATAAAAAATTCATGAAATATGTTATTGAAAGTTTCGAATACACAAATACATAATAATGTATAATTTTCAGAAACATTGAAAATTTATTTTTAGTTTTTGTTTTTTATTAAAATCTTCGAAAATTGTGAGGTTTTTGAAAAGTTATATCAAATTTTATCTTACCAGTACCAGAGAGAGTTGTTATGCTTGGAAGATTTAATCGTTTATCAACATTACCATTGTTAATAGATATTTCAATAAGCTGCGTTTGTTGACGAGTTTGGGAAGATTGAGAAGAAGAAGAAGCTCCATGTTTTGTAACCATTTGCTGCATGCTACAAGCATTTTGAAATGGAAGCTCTTCTAATAATTTGATTTTTTGTATCATTTCGCGTATTTCATATCGTAAAATTCCTAGGAAGCATAACTTTGTAAAAGAAATGACGCAAAATCCCAAAACAAATAACAGATCAGCAGTTTTCTCCAACCACTTCATAAGTTGTTCTTCGCAACCTTGACTGAAAGGGTATGAACAGCTGTCTGTTAAATTAACGTTGATTTTTGAAAATTTATTCACATTTGTCAAGTTTGATATAGTTTCTTCTTCAAAATGTTGAATGTAAATAAAATCCGGAAATTGAAGACTTGAGCAACAACTTTGGGGCCAAGTAGTGCCAAAATCTAAAGGCCCTGTGACACCGCAGCAAGAAAATTCTTTTTGCAATCGATCCCAATAAAGACTGAACTTCATATTTCTACTATATTCAACCTAAAAAAAATTATTTTGATTAATATTACAGAAATATAAAATTTTCAAAGTAAATAATGTCAGCGATTTTATTATAAACCAATAGTTAATTGAATTATACACTACTCAACAAAATTATTGTAACAAAAAATTTCATAGAAATTTTGTCGATTTTCAAATTCTTCTATCTTGGGCTATGTTTATCGTATCGACACGAACTTTTTTCTGATTTCTTGGGAATTTCATCCTCTTTAAATCCATGTATAATATGATAAGGTTTGAGTCAATATCGAGTTACCAGTAGTATTTGAGCGCAATACTAAAAATTAATGAAAAAAATCGATTGTTTAAACGCGTCCATGGACTACAGTAATTAATTTATCAATGCTTGTCTCTTGACTTTTGTGTCAGTCTAGATACCACTGCTTACACAAAAGAGTAGGTCGCGTTCTATTTCATTGGATCTTTTAGCATGATCCGGACTATGTTCTGCAGCTTGGCATAATTGAGTTATGTCTGGATCCCTTCTCTTCCGCTGTCGAAACGTGAACAATGAAATAATACGTGCTCTATGTTTTCGATTTCAGGGAAGCAGATCGGGTACCTTAAGTTAATACTGTCGTCGTAGGGCTGACTGTGATGTCTAAAGTAGTCGTGTCCGGTCATGAGCTGCGTAAGGTAGCAATTTACCTCGTCATGACTCCATTCGACCCTGGTAGGTCAATCGGCCCTTGTTCGACCTAATCAGGCCTACAATCTCCTGAGCATCCCCAAAAGTTCATTGTCTCTAGCATTCTCGTAGCGATGGTGGGAAAAAACCGAGTAAGCTCTTCTTTTAGTGAGAGAAGTGGTATGCTCGCTAGGACGTATCCTCGTATGACAAGTGCGAACAGCCGCTGATGACGTTCAGACAGCCTCGTTAATGGATTAACTCTGTTTGGCGTTTGTATGATTTTGTCTTCGTTGCGCTGCTCTAGATACGGACTCTGAACAGTAGAGTGACGTCAACTCCGTAATTTTTTATGCCAAGAATAATTTGTCTATCTTTGGAATAAAAGAGCATATCAAGAGAAAATTGTCTTGTTCTGTAATCACGATGCACGTTTGGAATTCCAAAACTTTTTCTTAAAGCGTTAAATTTAATAATAACTGTCCATTGCAATAACAGAAAAAGAAATTTTTCTCTTGATATAGGGCTTTTTCACAGTCGTCACTATTGGTCACTTTACGATTTGCCTGGAGATGAAATATGCAAGGTGTTGCGGGTTAAGTAAATGAGAGACCTAGTTTGTTTGGCCTCCAGGAAAATCTGTAAAGTGACCGATAGTGACGACTGTGAAAAAGGCCTATGCTCTTTTATTCCAATGGTAGACAAATTATTCTTAGCAAATTTTGCATATAGTTTTCTTTGGCTACTACTGCGCCCGACAATCTTGGGCATATACATGAGAAGAGAAGAAGGAGGGCTACAGCCTCTCCCGTTACCTGCTCGCTAACTCTTGCCAAGTGCACATCAAACTGCAATCTGGCAACAATATGCAGGCCCAGATAGACCCAGTAGATGTAACTATTGATGCTAATTGTTTCCATTCTCTGTATACTGGTGAGCAGATGAACTTCAGTTTTTTGGTTGGCTGTGGCCAGGCCGAGCTCCCGGAGAGCCTCTTGCACCTATATGACAACCGCATTCCAATGGTTTTCTATCTGTCATAGGTGTTTTGCAATTGCGACCAGAGCGATATCGTGTGTGAAGCTTACAATGTAAGTTGAGGCACAGTATAGTGCCGTACATTACATTTCACAATGTAGGGTTTAGGACTGATTCTTTAGCATGACTCTGCTGGCCTTCAGTTTGTCATAGTGTATTCGAGTACTTTGTCTTAAAAGTGATTTGGAATTATTTTCAGCAGATTAGTGGTTTGAATACGTTCAAACGTAATGAGTAAGTTGCTCCAGGGAACCGTGTTAAATGCACTTTTGACTTCCAACGTCATGACGGCATGAGAGTATTCTTCAAATCTACCCAGACACCTCTTTTCACGAGTCCCGTGAGCAAATTGGAAAAATACGAAAAAAATACGAAAATTAAATAATCACACAAATCAATTAACAAATCAAATAATTAAGCAACAATAAAAAATTTGAGAAGAATTTGATTAATTAATTAATTAATTAATTAAAACATTAATAAAAATTAGAAAAAATGTAAAAAAAAATATGAATGAAAAAAGCAGCTGTTTATGAACAGCTGCAAGATATGAAACATCTTAATCGGTTAACTGAAGGATTAAAAATTTAAAGTTAAAGGAAATAAAAACAAGAAAATTGATCAATCAAATAAGTAATAATAAAAAAAGTTAAATAAGTAAAAACTAAAAAAATCCTAAAACATGAATCAATAGTCAAAACAAAAAAACCAAACTAGAAACTAAAAAATCAAGAAATTAAAAAAACTTAGAAAATCCCAATACAAGCATCGATGTTTCACATCTGGTGCAATTATGTTCAAGAAACTACTCTGATTTTAAGAGTGAGCATTCATACATTATGCACCAGATGTGAAACATCGATGCTTGTGTTGGGATTTTCTAAGTTTTTTCTAATTTCTTGATTTTTTAGTTTCTAGTTTGGTTTTTTGTTTTGACTATTGATTCATGTTTTTAAAATATTTTTGTTCTTAACACCTTAAATTAACTTTATGTCACTCAGTTTCGTTTCACTATTAGTTAACATTATAGAAATTCCTTTCAATTTTATTGTTAACTAGTGACCCCGTCGTAGCTTCGCCCACGCTCAATTCATACGAAAAATGTGAAGACGTATTTGCAAAATGATACTATAGTACTCAATATTTTTAGCTCTATCTATTGAGATGTATATAAACAAATTCGACTGTTTAAAAGATCTTAAAAAGGCCATGAGAAGTGCGTAACAGGAAATGTCTAAGTTGAGTCTACACACTTGTAAAATGCAAATAGCTTAATAACACATGTACACATCAAATCAATGTATGCCGATTGACTGCGTGTAAAAAAAACAACTGCTTTCGGTCTTTTTTATAACAATTGAGCTGGCAAGGGGTAGGCGAACGCGCGAAGTGGTAAAAAACGAAAAAATAAAGAAGTATATAATGGTTTTAATTTGATAGAAACCTGCGCGGTAGTACAATGAATGCATGATAAAAATTTCAAGCTGATCGGACAAATAGTTTTTAAGATCATAAAAGACAAACAGACACCAACTTCACTCTATATTTATATAGATAGATAGATTAGACTAACATTATTTTTTTTTAAATCTACGGGACACCCCCTCAAAAGTTTCAAACCCCCAAAAAAATAGCCTCTACCAAATTTCAGCCCACATGGTTGAAAAAAACCCGTGCCACAAGACGGGTGTATATTTAAAATAATTAACTAAAAAAGTCGTTTTCTCGTGTTATACGAATGTCTGAGCCAACCCCAAAAAAATTTGAAAACTATGAGCGATACGTATTTCGATGCAAAATTTTATCACCATTCAGAATCCGGCGCAAAAATTGAGATTGGTGCATTCTTTCAGATGTTATGAGCGATTTTGTGCCGAAAAACGTGGTTTTTTGTGAATCGAGAAAAATGCGTTTGTTTCTTCCAAAAAGCGGCTGAGCAAGATCACCTATGGAAAAACTGTTAATGCACTGTTCGATAGGTTGTTTTTCACCTTTCCAACGCCGTATTCAGATTTTAAAATGGCCTTTGTTTCGTCCAGATACAGCTGTTTTTGTGGGAGCGTTTTTGTAGCTGAAAATTCAGTAATTCGGCGTCGGGTTCTCGAAAAATCACGTTTTTCCTCACACTTTACAACATTCTGAGAAATCTATAGGAGCTACCGAAACGAAATTTAAGCCAAAATTTTGCAAAAATTACACCAAAAAAATTAGCGTATACCCATCGATTTAAAAAAAAATTGTCAGTCTTATATAGATAGATTTATATAAAACGGGAATTCTTTCGATTAATCTACAAGACCAAAAACCCAGAGGCAAAAAAATTCCAAAATTTTTCACTTTCAACTTGCTTTTAGTACATTATAAAAATATACTTGCAATTTTGACCTCACTCATTAAAAATAAAGGAAAAAACACCCTGCATGGACTTTTTCACTTTTTTTTCTAAACCAAATTTGAAGTCAGGGAGGTAAAATTAATGTGTGATTTTGGTCTTGCTTACTCGCAATGCTGAGAAATCTATCAAGACTTAAAATCTTTTGATTTTTTTTATATTGTTTTGATTTTTTATCTTTTAATGAAATGATAGGTAATTTCTAACCTTCAGTTTTTGACGCAGACTGGACCGTAAATCGTTACAAATCTTTTCAAATCTGTAGATCCAAGCAATTCCCATGACTGCATCGCCAAAAAGTAGTGCCAATAATAAAAGCCAATAGGCATTGAGTAGATTTATGTTCAATTGTCTCGCTGCAGTACAACCTAGAATCTGTACAATTCCTAATTGTATGGTTAATGCTAAATAAGCATATAAAGTTGTTGGATCGTATGCTTTTGGTAATCCAGGAACTAAGAGTCGACGAGGATCTCCAGTAAAAATAAGACTTTTGGAAACAACTGCTATAAAACCCAGAGTACTGCATAATAAAACGGTATTACATGCGTAAATCCAAAGTCTGTAGTACCTCATTTTATGAAAATAATTTATTTTATAGAGAGCGATTAGATTTTTTTCATTGATGATTCATCTTATCTTCAAATTATTATCTACCCTGAAAAGATAATTTTTTCGATGAGAATTGTCAACAAATGAATCTATGCATAAAAGAGAAAAACTTGTTTGTATTTATTTAACTCTTATTGTTTATTTTTAATTTTGAAGTTTAAGGGGTAGCAGGGATGTAAAGAAACGTTATTTTTCATCACTGTATTACCAGCGCATAAGTAACCTTAAGTAATTAATTAGTCCATAAGTCCTAGTAGCCGAGTCAAAAAGTACCCCCTATCGATGAGTATCAGACACGATTCTCTAACAATATGCTAAGTTAACACTTATGCTCCCTTTTCCAAGTTATAATTCGCAACTTTCTGGTAGCACGGAGTGAGGTTAGCGCACGTGCGTAATCAGCTATGGATGGGATGCCAGAATGTGTGACTAATGCCACCAAAAAACGCACCATAAAGATGCTTTCATGCCACGTAGAGCTATAAATTATAGTACGCATTTGCTGTGGTTAACTTTCGTTAAGCTTGTGCGGCAAACTTAGCACTTGTTCATAATAAACAACCTCCTGTCTCTGTTACGTAATGTCACTTTTGAAATAATCCACAAAGTTAAAACTAATATAATTGCGTTTTATTAGAAAAAAAGTAAAAATAATTTTTCGCCTTTTCATACAGGCAAATAACAAAAAATGGACAAGAAAAAATTATAAATTATTTTGCAAGTCTACTTACAAGGAGACCTTCTCACCTTCGGGTCATAGATTTGCTCCAAAATTTTTTTGGGGTCTCCTGGTACCCTATACTGAAGCTATCTGTGCTTAGTTTGATCTCATGGGCCTTAGGGTGGAGCAAATCCATGACCCGAAGGTGAGAAGGTTTCCTTTTTAGTCTGATTCGAGATTGAAGAAAAATGCGTTAAAAGATAATTGAATACATTTTTCAAAAAACGCGTATGAATTCTTTTTGAGTTTTATGAGAACTTTTTTTGAAATTATTATCGGAATTTTTGAGTTGCACTACACATTAAGAGGGTGGTAGGGTCTTGACTAAGTCCTCAAAAAATTGTTTATATCAGCAATTCCGAAATTTGGTTTCGAATTTTTCGGCTAAAAAAGTGTACTTTATGGTTTATTTTTTATTTTTTCTTGTGATGATGAAACCTATCGGAAAATCTGAATTCATCACGAGAAAGATAAAAAATTTTCCTATTAAAACCATTTCTTAAGTTATTTTTCGGTTGTACGAGGGAATTTCGAATACTTTGATATCCGTTGTCTGTTCTCATAGCGGTCGCGCGGTTCTTTGCGTTGCGTGACTCACTATGATTGAAACTTGCTCGTAATTCGTCTGAAAAAATAAATAAATATGAGGTTTTGGCAGAAAATTCTCTCACAGCTTTCACACGGTGTAGGTTTTCCGATAATTATCATTTTCACGAAAAAAATCAAAATTAAACCATAAAGTAAACTTTTTTCCTTTATGAGTGTTTCAAGATATTTAGCTCAGCATGTTTGGTGATGATTTTCTCGGTGCAAATTGAATAATTTAATATCACCATCAGAAAGCTGAGGAAATTTTCTATCAAATGCAGTAGTCAGTCACTTTTTTTAGATGAGTTTTGATACTTTTTCAGCCACTTAGAAATTAAGTGAATTGTTGTATTGAGTGAAAAAATGACTTTTTGGCCTCTAAAACACAAAAATAAACAGAAATAATTACTTATCTTCAATTTTCAAGTACGCGCATTTTTTTCGCTCCCTTATACCTAGTGACGATGTCACTGAGCGATAAATAACATAAATTGCGCGAACGGTAATGTGTGAGTATGCAAGAGAGTTGCTAGGACCATGTGCACTGAAGAGCAGATTTATCTGTGCGAATCGAGTGCCTCGCGCTCGATGGGTGGCAGATCTGCGCGAGAGTGCACACACAAAAAGATCGAGGTGTCACGCGCCTTTTACAGATGGCAGTGTTGCTCGTAGGCCAGCTTATTACAGGCCCCGGAGCATATTTTTTAACCCGGAGAGTCGCATTCTTTATGTCAAGACATTTACTTTTCATGAAAAAATTATGTAGAGCTCAATAACCAAACCCTGGTTATGAGGTGGCATTGAAGGCAACGAAAAATCGCAACATTGTCGTTTTTTGGATGTAGAAGACAATTAGATTAATTTAACGATCTATTTTAACATCAAATTCAAAAAGTATTTTTATTATTTTTCAATCGCTGCACTTTGATTGGTTCAAGAACAAAGGAGGTACAGCCATATAAAGATATCATAATTACGAAAAGTACCGTTTTTACCAGATTTGCATAGGCTGTAACTCCGGTCTGGTAAAATGAATCTTCCCTCAATTTTATGTAAAAGTAGTTGAGCATATATGTGGCGTTTCACGACAACTCTCCTCACGCCACACAGCGAGTCATCATTTAGTTGAGTCGCTAAATTTGTAACTAGCTGTAAAAGTGCCTAAATGCACCTAAAAGAAAAAAGTGACCAATTTTTTCGATGGTTAATTGCTTCAGCTTTCCGATGGTCGGGTCAGATTTCCCGAATTTTCCTATTTTCCTCGAAAAAATCGCAGAAAAAACTTTAAAATCGATTATCTCAAAAACTTCATTTTTAAGATTTTTCTAAATAGTCTAGATCAAAAGATCAGAAAATTTTCTATCGATATAGACATTTTTCAGAGAGGCTTTTTTTGATTTTAGTGAGATATAGTGTAAGAAAGAAGAAAAAACGTAGTTTTTTCGTGGTTTTAGAGCGCACTGCCATTTTTTGCCACTTCTTCATGGTTTTTGCATGCCCGGCCGGGGCAGCCCGTAACTCCCCGTTACGGGCCCGCATCCTTCTTCAGTACGACGGTGTCGGGGCACAAAAATTCACCGTGTCACACCTTGTCCGACGCATTTTTCCACGAGGAATCCAATCGGAACTTGAGTTTGACCTCGAACATAACCTCTAAACTTCAGCGAACAAAAATCGATTTTTAACTCGATGACCCACTGATTTTATTTCAGATTTAAAAAGAGGAGAAAATTTTACGTTTCGTTATGTCTTGTTTTTTTCCCAAGACATTAATCTGCTTCAACCAAATTTTTTCAAGTTGTTGAGAAAATTATTGAAATAAATGTCTACTTTATTCCATCTTGTTTGTTTATCATCATGTTTTAAAGACCATTATTGATATTGATATTTTTGATTCAATAAGTTTAAGAGCAGATGAAAAAGTATATAAATGTACCTAATTTCATATATTGGTATAATGGCATCGAGACATCGTCCGTTTGAGTGGCCACGGGTTCGAATCCTAGTGAGGGTACTCAGATTTTTTTGATTGTCATTCGGTGGAATGAGAACCCAATGTGCTCCGACTGTCTCGAGTTGGGTTTTTTCAGGAGGATGGAGAAAAAGGGGGTACGCAGTACGAACACTCCCAAGTTTCCCTCGTCCCACAGGTCCTCGGGACAGGCCAACTGCAAGACAGCAGGGTGGGGGTAGTAACAATTTTCCTGTGCACGGGTTATATAGCCTCCTGCAAGCCTTCTCCAGAAGAAACATAGGGAGAAAAAAAAATTACTACCTGAAAACTAGAGCTTTATAAATCCATGTACAAAAGTAGGATCCTGCAATTTAAGCTACCTAATATTGTATTAGTTATTCGCTTCGGGGATAACTTTGTCAACAAATTCAGCTTGACTTTAACGACTCCATTAGTTTTATGTGAGCTGCTTCTGAACACCTGAGCGTGCAAGCTACTGACGAGAAATCCGAAGTACTTCTGGTCACAAGCAGGAAAAAGTTACAGTTAGAATTACCTTTGGAGCCAGTGAATGTCATATCAAGTCAGTGCTTAATATACGGTACCTCGGCCTACACATCGAAGCCAAGCTGAAATTCGGTGAACAGCTAAAAATCATTAGCAATAACGCTAATAAGGCTGTGGGTGCCCTGCTAGGTTTCATATCGAATATAGGAGACTCAAGGATTATTGGAGGTGTTCGAGAAATATTCGAACAGGTATGAGCGAGCTGCTTATACACGCACACGTCACGTGCTGTGCAAGCATCGGAGTGATTCTCACTGCGCGGCGAGAGATGGCGTCGCGCCTCGGCACGTGCCGATGGCCACTCTGCTATCTGCGCATTGTTCGCGATTTCGGCCTTCTCGTTTCTGCACTCGTCTAATCTGCATCTTGCTCGTGTCTCGTGCATCGACCTGGTTCAGCTGCGAATAAATCCCCAACGTCGCCTCAACAGAAGCTACATCGAGCATCATCACCTTGGACAGCTTCATCAACTCAACCGCCGTATATCGCCTCAACGAGTGCAAGCCAGTCAACAATGACGTTTCGGCAAGCTCTTTTCATCGCTCTACTCATCGAAGCGCATCTCATCGGTCATCGCATCGGAGTAAAGTCATCGATTGCGACCAGGTAAAGAAACCATCCAGACTGCAATTGAAGGCCAATAATGTCTACTGCAGGCCTGGTGGAATCTTTTTGTCATCACCTCAACTCTCGGGATTATTTTGGCGCATCTCAATCGCACGAGCACACGACGAGTGAAAGTGAGGTTACACGTAGCCATGTGCAATCTCACGTGACCTCGATCAACTCATTCGGCTGCTCACACCTGCACACGAGAGGATTAATTTAACCTCTTGCGTTGTGCTCCGGTCTGCTCACAAATCAAGTTCAACTCGCTGTGAACTCAAGAGAAGCGTTTCCCTATCTCAATTGCTACAACTCACAGCAAATCAGACTGGATTAATAAAATCAACTTCGTATTGAGAACTCAAACTTTGTAAAGACTCCTTGACAGTTAAGTGTGAATTAATACAATCTCGCTTCGCATCGACTACTCAATTTATCTGAGTGAACTCAAGTGTAAAATCAATCATAATATCAGTGAACTCAATTACTTTATAATTATTATCAATATTTTGAATTAATTGACTCAGTTTTTATTTAAATTAACAGTGATTTTGAGTGAAAATAAAGAAAACAGTGAAAATGAAATTCAACTGACTCATGCAGTGTTTTCTTTTGAGACCCTATCATGCACCCATCCAAATTATTATTTATTGTTTAAACAATTCTCAAATAGGAGGAAAGCTTTACGTTTGCAGCTTCAATCCACTGATGGGTCCACCTGTGCATGATTTGAAACTTTCGTATATTCTCTCGTAAAGCCATTTGCGTTATTATCGGCACTTCACCATTTACGCTGCGCATCGACGAACGTTTAAATCGGTCGCAAATGAGACTTTCCGATTCGTTTGCGGAGCACTCGGAAAGCTGGGATTGAAAACCGCCAATCAAAAAACCCAAGTTCTACTGTTAACCAGCAGGAAACGGCAAAAGAACATCACCTGCAGTGCAAAGCATCAAGCACGTCTTCTTTCACTGTCTTCGATTCGCGGAAGAAAGAGAGCGATTCCACCACTTCACTAACGGACTCTTGGAGCCCGAGACTATTGTTAGTTTCATGCTTGCTGCTTAATGCAACTGCGAAGCAGAGTCCTCTTTTGCCAGCTCAATTATGTTTAGACTCAGAAGCGAAGAGAGGGCCAGAAGAAGTTGGCTGGACAAACGACCGAGTTGCGATCCACGTCAAATTTTTTGTGTGTTTGCTGTAGTGGCCGCATTTCGATACCATCTTTATTGCCGCAACGGTACTCACATGTGGTGATGCGATTGATGTTGTCACTGACCTCGGTCGTGGGGGTAAACTTGCTCACGTGAACAACCTCTAGTTGTCGCCCTCGTTTCTGTCTTAAACGAACATTCACGGTCCTATGCTATAATTGGGCTATTCTTTCAAGCACCTATTCTATACACTCTTCTGTTGTTAGTCTCCTTTAGATGAACTTCTTTCACTTTGGAAAAGAGGAAAAATCCAATTATAAAAACTGACAATAATTAATCTTTAAATAATTAATGATGTTTATGCTATCTCAAATATTTGGTCGACAAAATTCAAATCTTAAATAAATAACCAAGAATTATGACAGAAACTTCTATGTTTTGAGATTTCCCGCAAAGTAAGTAGGCAAAAAATTGTTGCATTTCGAAGTAATTTAATAATACTTACTTACACTTATATTCATAGTCCTGATTGCCATACACACCAACAAAAAAATCTGGAATGAGAAATAACTTTGTCATTCAATTTTTGGTTCATGCAATTAATTTCGATAGAAACATTTATTTCATGAGAGACTATGTTATTAATCATACGTAAGCCCGAAAACGAATTAAGCCATTCCTTACTGCATTCTTTACTAAGTTATAATATAGTATAGTTTAAGAGAAACAAAAATAATCACAACATAGTTGAATAATATCTTTCTAAATACTATCAAAAAATCAAAATGTTGCATCAATTTAGAATGATTGAGTTTCTAGATTTTTTAGATGAACTATAATAATTTACTTTTATTGAATGAATGTTTATGAACTCAATTAATTATTTAGAAAATGTATGTGATATAATGTAGATTGCATGTCGTTTCGATTCTCTACTTTATTAAGATAACAAGATAGCCGGCAAAGATTGTCTTTTTAAAGTTATAATTTAATATCATTTGTTTTTTTGATTCTTCAATTTTCAGCATTCTTATATTTAATTTATTCGATTAATCAATTATACATTTCATTTTTTGTTGCATCATAGGAAAAATAATTTGTGAAGATAAGTTCTTTTCAAAATCATACAAAATAATTCATCATGAATAAATTTACAAATTTAAGTTGATAATATTAATTCTTTCGAATGATTGACTTATTTTCTCAAATTATTAATATTTACAAATTTCATAAAGAGATGAATAGACTTACCTAGATGAAAAATATAAATTTCACGCATTGCAATTTTTGTGAAATATCAACTACATGTAAAATATCTGTATGAATAAATTTCACATGAAAATTCCTTTCTTATACTCACAAAAACATAACCAAATTTACTGCGTAAATGATAAATGTCAATAATATCTAAGTGGTATACTTCTTACCTTTAAACTATACCCAAGAGCAAGTTTGATAAATATATTTTCGCTGCTTCCGTTTGAGCGTGCGCTCATGTCCTTCACACCTACATTACACTATACTTGACATCTGCAAACAAATCAGATTTTACTTGATGCAATTATTCCTTTCATGTAAAATATCTGATTATTTATGTATCCACTAAAAAGAGATGAAAGTGTTGATAAATAAATTGATATGAACTCTATCAAATCATGAAATTGAAATTAAATATGCATTAATTACAAGTCCATAATATTCTCAATATTTTTTTATTCTCATTTATTTTTAGACAAAAATATATGATAATTAAACTTAAAGTCTGTAATCAAAATTTCAACAAACCTTTATCATTTCCAATCAGCGAAAAATAATTATAAAGAATCATCAAAACCATAATTAGTGTTTTCCTTCTTATGAATAAAAATTTTTTTTTCGTTATAGTAATTTTTAATTTCTCGAATACAAAAAAAAATCATTTAATTTTACTTTTTAAGAAATAAAAAAAAATAAACAAAAGCGAAAGTTTGAAAAATCAGACTTTATAATTTCCCTAGTACTGTTGGAGCATTCAGCATGAGTATAGCCCTGATAAGCTCACTCGTATTTTTCTCCAATACTGCTCGTCATCTGAAAAATTACAAAAATAATTGAATTTTATTAAAAAAGATAAAAAGTAGGACATTTATTTGTTTTTTGCACACGAAGCTGCAAGTAATTTAGCACTTGATAAAATACTTATAGTCAATAGAAAAGCGGTTTTCGGCGTGCATATGAAATAAGTTAATCAAAATTTTATTAAAAACTTCCATTAGACAGGCTGAGAATTTTTTCATTGGTACGATTTGGGAGATTATTACATGCAGTAAACAGAAAAAAAAGTTATAAAAGTAAGTTAGCTAATAAATAGACAATGAGATGAAAATATCAGAAGATGTTATTAAATAACAGCTCTTTTGAGTAATTTAACTTTATTTTTTATTGTCCTCATATTTGACCATAGTGTTATGGTTCGACCCTGAACTAAGAAACGTCAGGTAGGCCACAGAAGTAAAAATACTCCATTTGAGAATTGAATAAGTCATAAATTAAATTAGTAATAATCAAAAATAATAGTTATAGAAGAGTACAGAAAGAGGAGTGCACAACAAGCTGCCTAAACTTGAATGTTTGCTGCTAGCGGCCTTACTTGTTGCTAGCTCGAATCAATCTGATTGCCGAGTGTGCGGTTGGGCCTGTACAGCTGTACGTTGCGTAATTTTGCTGCTTTTGAGACAAACTAACCAATTTCTTCGTCTTTCAAAGACGTTTTCAACCACTTTGTATAGGGTTATTTAAATTTTTACTGAAGTTACAATATAAAATGTCCAACCTTTTGTGCCGCGCTCGAAACTACATTTGATATTATTTTTTCGGTTTGTTAAGAGTTGCACATGCTAGACAAATTTGAACCCCAATGATAAATGTATCGTCTTAAAGGATACAAAATTATCTTCAATTTGGTATATTTAAAAACTCCCAAAGTTCTTTAGAACTAGAGATACAGTTCAAAGTTAAACTGTTAACTGTTTAAAGTTTTACTGAAAATTAAAGTACTGAATCTGTGAATTTATCATAGACCAGATATAGTATGATCATCACATAATTAAATCTTGAATTGAAATAGTATATTATGATACGCGCGACTTAAACAGGCCATTATTGCACGGCGCGGTCTGCACCTGAGCGAAGCGAGGGTACGTGTTAAGAATGGGCTACTTGAGTCATAATTATCGCATGCTTTTTTATAGCACTGGGCTAAATTCACGTTTAGACCTCCATTAGCGAGATATAAGGTGCTCGTTATAGCGTCACGGTGTGAGCCTAGTGCACTTGCTACGCTGGTGCGATAGGCGCGCCGCAGTACAATAATGAGCAGCTTAAGTCACTGCATAGCGTGCCTTAAACGTGAACTTTAGCCAGGCAGTGCTATAAATCTTTTTGTAGCACTGCGTGTCTTATGTTAACATTTAAGATACGCTTTTTGGTGGTATGAGTCGCACATTCTGGCACCGCTGCGCTCGGGTGCATTACTCTGCCGAATGGTAAAACAAAAAGCTTAGGTAAACGACCTATTTAAAAAGTTATAGTAAAGTGAAAAGTTGAATCTTATATAATTTAATATATTTAAGAAAAAAAATATATTTGACAATTTGTGCCATTTTGTGCACAGAATATCAAATCGAATATCGTATATCAATAAATATCAAAACAAATTTAATAAATTTGTAAAAAATCATTTCCCGAAGTTTCAGTCCCGTAACTTACAAACGCATTATCTCTCAAGCCTCCCTATATACTCACAAGCAATTTAAAATGTGTTTTTTTCAAAAACACTAAAAGTGAACTTACGTCGTTTGGCATTCCCACCACAGAAATATTATATAAAGATATTACTACAGAGACACTATAGTAAAAAGAGAAGAGTTAGAATAATATTTAATTTTTGATTCTTCTATTTATAGGTCAGTATATTCCACGTTCAATACAGGAGTCCCTCGTTATACGCGGGGGTTACGTTCCTCAAAAGTACCGCGTATAACAAAACCGCGGATAATAAGACCTTACTCTTATGGGAAAGAGAGGGTTACGTTCCTCAATCTCGAGAAAGCACAGTTTATATGTACATTTTACTTACAAATAAGCGTATTGGTTGAGTAGTTTATCTATTCATATATGTTTATTTACATTTACAACTCATATATATTTAAAGTAAGTGGTTCATTTTTTCTGCTTTGCTCATCTCAAAATATCTTTGTGCATTTCTTCATAAATTTGTGCAGCTAAATCACAGTAGTGTTCGAAAGTCGAGATACGCGTCATTATTGGATCATGAATCATTGCTTATTCACCTGCTTGAATAACTAGATCCATAACTTCGACAATCAGTTTTGAATCTAAAATCGGTGTAGGTGCACCATCAGTCCGATCTGCCGGTGGTTTTTGAGGCAGTTTTCGACGGAGTTTTAGAGAAAGCCATACTTAAATAAATTTATAAATTTTCAACAAATTTAGGTTAATTGACAAATTCGATTTACGCATCTACACTAACCAAATTCAAACTGAATATAGATACGTCCGAGAAAAAAATCACGATCTTCGATCCGCGGATAACAAAACTCGACCCGCGGATACGAAGGGACGGACGCAAATCGACTAACCGCGGAAAACGAATTTCGTGGATAATAAATCCGCGTATAATGAGGGACTCCTGTAGTTAATTCAGTTCTGATTCGTTTAAATAAATTTTCTTTTTTTTCTGGACGAATAAAATTGCGTTTCGCTCATACCCTCAAAACTCATATTATATAAATATAAAAATACTATTATTATCGTATTTCTTCTACTGAAAAAGAGAATCTATTGTAACACTGTGGATTTCTCAGTGTCAAAAACTCGGGGGCAAATCACCTTTAGAGGAAGCTGAGAGTGGAATTGGATGGTAACAGGCGTAGCCAATAATAAAACTTTTGTTCTTAATTTCAGGCTTTATATTCTCCGGCTCAATTTACTAAATTTGTACAGTGTCAATGCTTATACTACGGCTTTACATACACACAATTTTTATCAATACCCAAAACTATTGGATGTGAACACTCAGAGATACACAATACACTTAAACAACGCTTACACTAATATAACTACTTTGCAAATCACCTCTTAATAATTAAATAAATATGATCAACCAAAACGAAACGACATTCAGGAAATGACTATCTAAAATGTCTTCTCTATGACGACCCAGACGAAGTACGCCGAGGCGTGCTCGTGCCACAACACCTGGAGGAAGAAGAACGAACGCTGCGACTCGCTTACAGCCTCGACCGTCTGTGCGTGGTCCATTTGTTTAAACAACGCGACTGATTGGCTCAAATTTTGACGAGGAACTAGGCCTGATTGACTGATGCACATAGGGCTTTATGAAGCGAAATCTATAATGTTGCACCATTTAATATAATATTTTTCCAACATGTAATATAAATAATTAAATCGTGATAAGGCTTATCGAATTGATGATCATAGTGTGAATAAAACTTACTTCAACTTTAATACTGTTGTTCGAGAAATCTCCCGAACAGTGTTGATCAACTGCCGTGGTCACGTTCAAGCTCACGTGCAGTGTGAGTCGGGCCGTACGAGTTATTGCTGCGCGCTCAGAGATGGCGTGGCGTCTCGTGCCTGGCGCGAATCTACGTGCAGCGCGTTCTTCGCGACGGACACGTGAGTTTTGGTCACTAGTGCATCTCGCGCTCCTCGAGATACCTCGACATTTTGCTAGCTCGTTTTAACCTCGCCTCTCGCGTGTGACTCGAGCTCCAAATTACCCTCAACGTCGAAGTCAGCTTATCCAGACAACTTCGACATAATCTGCGACTGCTCAACTGTCCACATCTGCTGCTCTCAACCCAAGTGGGACACGAAAATCAACATAGGCCACTCATCGACGACTACTCACTCGGCATTGCATCATTGCTCAACTCATTGGATCGGCTCATCTCGGCGTACAACATCAGGTAAAGAACCTACACGAGTGCTGAAGAAGATCAATAATGCCTTCTTCAGGCCCTGTAGAGTCTTTTCATTCACTGGCGCAATTTGACCAAAGCACGGAGTCACTGCGAGGAAAAGTGAGGTTACGCTCAACCCATGTGTAAGCTCACGAGATTCTCAGCACCGCTCACTTCCGGCAGCTCACGCAGAGGACGAGAGAATTAATATAACCTTGCTTTTCGTCTTGCTCCGATTACTCTGTCTCGTGCTCCGCTCAAGTTGACATCTCGGTGCTCTCAGTTTGACTGCTCATTGCGACTCAATGAAAGATTAATACAATTTCTTAAACTCATATTCTTGTAAATTAAATTCTTTCAAAGTGAACAATTCAATGATTGTTTTATTATAGTGGTGAAGTGTGAAATAAAGAAAATTG